GCAACTAAATTTATAACATTTTTGACATGCGTTTTTCTGGATTTTGTTGTTGTTATTCTGTCTCTCACTATTCAAATAAACCTACCATTAAAATTATAGACTGATAATTTCTTTGTCAGTGGGCAAACGTACAAGATCAGCAGGGGATCAAATACTTTTTCCTCACTGTACCTCCACACACACACACCTACCTCCACACACAGACACCTACCTCCACACACACACACACCTACCTCCACACACACAGACATCTACCTCTACATACACACACAGTGACACCTACCTCCACACAGTGACACCTACCTCCACACACACACACCTACCTCCACACACACACACCTACCTCCACACACACACACCTACCTCCACACACACACACCTACCTCCACACACACACACCTACCTCCACACACACACACCTACCTCCACACACACAGACACCTACCTCCACACACACACACCTACCTCCAAACACACAGACACCTACCTCTACCTCCACACACACCTACCTCCACACACACACACCTACCTCCACACACACACACCTACCTCCACACACACACCTACCTCCACACACACAGACACCTACCTCTACCTCCACACACACACACACCTACCTCTACCTCCACACACACACACCTACCTCTACCTCCACACACACACACACACACACCTACCTCTACCTCCACACACACAGACACCTACCTCCACACACACAGACACCTACCTCCACACACACAGACACCTACCTCCACACACATGCGCTGGCATTCGACTTGCACAGTCACCAGCAGCAGCAGAAGCCACAACCAGCACCACCGGCCAGCCATACTGTCTTCTCAAGCAGGCGAATCTAAATAGAATTGTCTTCAGTCTAATCAATAAACAACAACAATAACAAAACCCCCACCCTCCCGAAGGCTAAACAAAAGAAGACACGCCAACCAGCTGCGCTGGCGGTGTGTGTGTGCAGTTGCGAGATGCTGTGTGGGATGCTCGGTTGGGCGCTCACACATAAGAGCGGCTCGCGCTGGGACCCGCCCACCCCCCGTGACGTCACCACCCCACCCCGCCCACCCGCCCGCCAGCACGGAGTTGATTGACAGGATGAGATTCTGTATTGAGACTGCAGCAACAGCAGCAGGAGGAGGAATCCGGTGAGCTATGAAGCTCTTTTTCACAGATGTCCAACGAGTGGCGGCTCAGAAGGGTGCAAGAACAAACAAAATAAGAACACGAGTGCAGAGTATAGCAAAGGTAAACATCACAATGGACGAAGGCTAGAAAATACACAATAGGTTTTTTTTCTCAGAAAAATAGGATTTTTTTGCAAATATAAAGTTTCAATTACACAGTATGTGCAAGAACAAAACACAATGTACCCCTTTCCTGAAAATAAATGAGATTCAGAGAGTCATCCGTGTGGAGAGGGGATCAGCGTCAGGGCTGGAAATGTGAAGAAATTACTGGGGTAAGGAAATCAGAAACCTCCTCCCCCTCCACCTCTCCCCTCCACCTCCTCCTCCACCTTCCCCCTCCACCTCCCCCCTCCACCTCCTCCACCTTCCCCCCTCCACCTCCTCCTCCACCTTCCCCCTCCACCTTCCCCCTCCACCTTCCTTCCGCCACCTCCTCCTCCACCTCTCCCCTCCACCTTCCCCCTCCACCTTCCTTCCGCCACCTCCTCCTCCACCTCTCCCCTCCACCTTCCCCCTCCACCTTCCCTCCTTCGCCTCCCCCCTCCACCTCCCCCCTCCACCTCCCCCCTCCACCTCCCCCTCCACCTCCTCCACCTTCCCCCTACACCTCCCTCCTCCAACTTCCCCCTCCACCTCCTCCACCTCTCCCCTCCACCTCCCCCTCCACCTATCCCCTCCACCGCCTCCTCCACCTTCCCCCTCCACCTCCCTCCTCAATCTCCCCCCCAAATCTCCCCCTTCCACCCCCGCTAGATCTGTCGTCTCAATGCGGCATGTATGGCTGAATCACTTTCCATCACCAAGTCAAATGTCTTTTCATGGTCTATATTTCTGGCTGGAGATGGATCGTGATGATAGTTCCATTTTGAAGCACGCATGGTTCGTTCAAAAATTATACTTTAGCGTGAGCTGTGTTTTTAAATCCCTAACTGTGACCGGAATGCTCATTATCACGTTAAGTTTAATAATAGCTCCACTGTTCTGGCCCGTGCATTAGCCGCTTATGATAAAGATATTTCTGCCACGTGTCGCTGTGTCGCCTCTGTGTTCATCGGCAGCGGTGAGGCTATCCAGATCTTAATTAAATCCCTCTGCTGGGTGTTCATCTCTCAACCTGCAGATTAACATACGCCCATAAGTCTGTGGTGCGTCATTAAGTTATTACATTTTGTTTATATATAGAAAACAATACAGCATTCCGCTTCGGCTGTGATGTACTCTGAAATGTTGGCAACCTCCTAAAGCCATCACTGTTTCTGTAAACCTTATTTAAATATACTTTATGTAACACAATGATAAGGAGCGTGTATTTTTAAATGTAATTACCAAAGTCTGCTGGACACCGTTAAAAGCTAGATATTCCATCTGAAGGGATGATTCAGTAACAATATTCAAATAAGTAAATTTCACTAGAAAAACCTTGTTTTAAATTGCAGAGTGAACTTTAAAACCCAAGTTACATAATTGGCAAGAGTAAGATGTCAGCATGTGCTGGTTTTATATGCCAAAAATTACATCTCATTATCTTATCTGCAAATAATTTGCTGAGATTAAAAATATTTGTTTCACTGACAACAGCACCCGTGCATCGACTGTTGCAACGAGAAGTAGCGAACATTCATGGCCCCCTTATCATGGAAATGTCAATCATGAATGCAGGATGAGGTGCTAGGGCTAGTGATGAGGGTTCAGGGGCAATTACTTGCGTGCGTTTCCATGCTAAAGGGGAGGTTTACATCTGGCCTAAGAGCTACGGTTTACAAAAAGATAGATTTCTCCATGAGAACGAGTGTAAGCGTTAGGCGTCAATGCAGACATACAATTACACCTGGGATGTTATTAAGGGTTGGAGATGGTGAGGCAGGGTGCTTTGTGATATGCTGCAAGCATAACCGGCGGGTTTGGCGAATAGTACAGAGTATAGTACCTGCCAACAAAAACAAACATCCACCTTATAGCCATAGCAGAATTTTGGGGCAAGTGCTGTTCGCGAGCAACTATGAAGGCCGGACGATACACGAAGTAGGTGGGTAGCCAGCACCACTCACGACCGCCTTTGTCTCCCGCGTAGCGATGTTTATACACCACACCAGGTACTCACTTAAGGCCGAATCGACCTAGGGGAGGACAAGTACCGGTTCAAACAATCGCCACTGGTGTTGGCCGTGAGCGGGAATCGAACTGGGGCCGCCGGGTTCATAGCGCAGCGAAGCGCTAACAACGACACTACCGCTCCCCCCAGCGCTAACACACACACTCACAAACACGTACGTCCACATTCATCACGACGTAAAGATATATCGATTCAACTAATAGCAATTCTTCAGCTCACATTAGATGTATAAAATCGTGCGTATGACGAATTTACAATTTAAACAAATTCCACGCTGATGCGTGATGGGACAGCTCCGCGGTGGAGTGGTTTGCATGCTGCACTCGCATTTCAGAGGTTGCTGGTTCTATGAGAGACGGACGCTTCTTAAATCCCACACCTCTGTCCACTCAGCAGTATAAATGGGTACACCACAATTACTAAATCCGTAGATCACGTGTGGCGGGGTAAGGCGTGAGAACTCCTCCCTATTCCGAGGTGTGTGGAAGATTCGACCAAATGCTCTCTCCAGGGCTCTCGATCTTCCACCATGAGAGCCCCACCTGCAGTTTTGAGTGGGCCTCGATGTCATGAACTCGATTTTTCAAATTCACTCTTTCGCAGCTCGTCCCATCTACTCTCGGGTGAATTTGATATTCCACTTGATCAAATGTATTCAAATCTGTAAGCGATGAGAAGAGGATTATGATCGTGCAGGCTGCAAACAAAACGCATGTTTTGTTTGCGAGCCACACAGACGATACGTGATGTGTCTGCTGCCATCTAGTGGCACATTTTTGAAAATAAAAAATATTTCGCAGCACCAGGGTAATTTCTGAAACATTGAACCAAAAATCAAGCTGGCCAAGTTTACACAATTAATAAAAAAATAAAGTGGCGAGCTGCAAGGGCATGTACTGTTGAAAAACACCTGGCTGTGGAAGGGCTACAGGCGTATCTGATACTCAGTAGACGCTTGTAGATTAACGTGCTTATAATCCAAACCGACAACTGTAACGAGACATTGATTAATTGATTCAAGTACATTTTACACACGCGCAGCAATAAAAAAGCGTGTGAGTCCAGGCACGTGCTGTGGGTGGATGACTTTTGAACTCTCACAGCTTGCATGTTCTCAATTGTACATCACCCTGCATGCAGCCAGACACCATTTTATTCGTTAATTTTGTAAACTTGATCAGTTTTATTTTCTGTAAAAAAAACCCGAATACGTGTCTCCAATATTTTTATTTTCTACATTTTGCCACGAGATAGCACTAAACATCAGCAGGCAAATCACGTGTATGGCCTGCGATGGCCACTGCTTGTGTAACTATTCAATGCCTATTTAAGCTGATCTTCAGAGATAAAAAAAAACTTAATTCCCATCACGCTGCGTTGTCTAAAGACCCGAAAGAGTGGTTTACAGTCCTCTTTAATTAGTCAGCAAGACGTCAAAGCAGGAGCGCTAATTACATAACAGAGTGACGCAACGGCCTCGTGACGTCACAAAGTAAAGACGTGCTCCGTGAGGACATGACGTAACAATCCGGACGCACGGAGCTTGATGCCGCTCGATGACGTCACCGCGCACGCCTCGCGCGCCGCTCCGCTGCACAAGACGCAAACACTGGCCGATGACGTCATAGCGCGGCCGTCAATGCGATTGGAAGCAAAATGTGTCGGTGGGGAGCGGGAGCGCCACGAACCTGGCCGAGTTGGATTCCCGCTCGCAGGCCCACACCGGTGGCCGTTATCTGAAGCGGTCACGTGGGCCTCCCAATACAACCGTCATTAGGCACCGAGTGACGGTGACGTCACCACGCCGCCAGTGCCAGGCCAGGTGGACTTGAGGCCTCAAACGAGCACCTGGCGCGCGGTGCGTGAACATCCTCACTGGGGGGGGAGGGGGAGACAAAGGCGGCCGGGCGTGGTGTTGCCCACCCACCCCTCGTGTGCCGTGCCGGCATTCACAGGCGCTGCCCTCTGTCACAGGCGACACGGGGGGGGTGGGGGGCATCTTTGTTGTGTCGCTATGCAAATGCCGCGTGCCGGTGACGTCACGACGCGATGACGTCAGCACGCGATGACGTGGCGCCGCGGGGCTTGTTTACGCCATGTTGTTTTGCCGTGCCCAACTCGCGAGCAGCAGCGGCAGGAGGCGGCGCCGTTCGCGACCCCAGCCACGACAGCCACGACACGCGCCCGTTGTGCCACAACGACGACGACAGCCGCAGCCGCAGCAGCAGCCGCAGCAACAGCAGCCGCAGCAGCAGTTTGTCAATGCCATTGCCCCCCCCCGCCCCCGGCTGGAGTAACGAGGTGGGTTCGCATTGGCTGAGGCCTAGCGGGTTATAATGAACTCTTTGCCATCAAGTTTCAATTCCATTTACAGTTTCCTGTAGTCATGTCGGTGTGTGTTGACGGTTTTGTTCGGTTTGTAAATCATCATCATCGTCATCGTCGTCATTATTTCAGCCGTTAGAGTCCGTGGAGGCCGGCCCGCTCCTGCGCGCCGTGACCCGGGGCCCGGCTCCTCACGGCGGCGATGGCGATGCCGAGACGAAGAGGCTGGCTGCCTGTACATGTTGAGCCAAGTCCTGCTGATGAGATTCGCTCCCCAGCAGTGACGTGTGGCTGATGGAATGTGTACACGATATTGTTATTACGTGGAGATACAACTATGTGAAATATGCATTATGCCTGCATGTATAGCGTTATTGTAGTTACATATCGGAATTCCTTGCGGAGTTCAGGCGCATAACGCGAGTTTTCCGGCTTTATTCTTTGGCAGTGACGAGCTGTTGTCTGCTACACAGTGCATCGCTGTGCCGACTGGGCCACGTGATGTGCATTATAACACCTCGCTGATTACGCAATGTGATTACGGGGGCGATGTGAAGGCGCAGCCCTGCAAGGGCTCGCTCGCCTCCCTCGTGGGGGAAGGGCTTCCACAAGAGGGGGGGCTCTAGGCAGAGGTTTGGCCGACTCTCACGCTGGCCAAACGTCTTGCAGCAAAGGTGATTTTGATTAAATGACATCAACGTTACTGCAATTCACTTATTTTAATCAATTGTTTATGGTGTTATTTGTTTTAAACATTCTTGCAGTTCACTGTTATTACAGTGTTATGGTTATTAAATAGTGTAGTTCACTTGTACCAAATTGCAATTCTATTTAGTCAGTTTTCACTTATTGGTGATATTACTGGGTTAAATATTACAATTCACTGTAGGGTAATCTAACGAGTTATTTAGTTATTAAATTTTGGTTGAAGTTAGATGGTACTTTAGGAGACACGCTATTGTGGAGTGTTTACGCTATGGTTCATCACGTGATGAACCACAGGATGTAGAATCTTTTTTAACGGCAAAGGTTTGATTTTAAATGCATTGTTTCAAACTTATAAACCACAAGAATATAATTAAACGTTGCTGCAACCGGTTTGAGTTATTATTTTACGATACTACACCACACTGAGCAGTTTGGGTTAGTGAAGCAAGGGAGCATGGAAGTGGGAGCATAGGAGGTCGGTACAACATTGACATTTTGCTGCACTACCCTCTGCTGCTAATCACGTAACATCCAGCGTATACAATTGTGACGGCAGTGTTAGTCGTTGCCTGTGTGTGTGTGCGTGTTCCAGCAGCAGCTGTCAGAGCGGGACAACTACGGGCCGGTTTTAACTTTCAGATCCTCATCAGCAATCACGTGTGCCTTTCAAGGAGGTTTTTTTGTCTCATAATATTGACTCTGTGGTAAACGCTCCACACGTTAACCTTCGGGAGGTGTTTCTCTACATGAGTGTTTTGACAACGCACCGTCGTAAAAAATGTAAGTTGGTACCCTTAAAAATGACAGACTGTCCCTTTAACGGTGCTAAATGGAGGTCATTTAAAAAGCTCTTTGCCTGGGTGAGTTAAACGGATTACTTGTGGCTCTTAACTGAGTTGTAGCATTTAAAGAGGACATGCATTAGGCGTTTAAGGTAACTGCTTGGCGTTTAGACGGGGTATGTTTTGTTCACTTTAATCTCCGAATTTATGGTCATTTAGCATGTGTGTACATTTAAACAAAACTCATGTCATTTGATAGAAAGGCATTCCAAGTAATCGTGACAAGTCTAGGTAAGATATGATGTGTTGTGTTTGTGTTTATAACTGGAGTTTCTTCACGTGCTGGGAACATCTTTCGCACGTGGAGTGAGCCGTCAGACACCATGCCGAACAATACGTGGTACAACCTAAAAACACATCGGAGGGCCATATGCACAACTGCAAAAACACCTATGCACTGGTGCTTGTTATTGTTGATCACAGGCACTGGATGAAGTACAACACATAAGATGTACCAGCCGTCGCGGACGGGCACGGCAATAACATCGCTCTCCGCTTTCTCGTTACGTGCAGGGCGCCGGCGGGGCACGCAGGCGCTTAACTCGCAGCCCGCCGGAGCGTGAAGTGTCGCCGCTGCGGTTTTGATGTGCGTGGCGTGGTGCTCGAGGCCGGCAGTGCACACCGGTTTGGAGGCGTTTATCGTCGTCCCAACGCCGCCACCGCGAGCCGGAACACGATCCGGTGCCCTTGCGCCGGGCGTGCCACCGCGACTAGTGCCGGTCGCCCGGGACACCGGCCCATGCTCCCGGGCGGCGCATGGCGGCGTAGAGCGCGATGTGCCGGGGGGGGGCGGCGCCGGGGGCCATGTCGGGCACGGGGAGCACGCGCAGGGAAGTGCTGCTGGAGCCCTTCGTGCACCAGGTGGGCGGCCACTCAAGCATGATGAAGTTTGACGACGACACCATCTGCAAGCCGCTGATCGCGCGCGAGCAACGCTTCTACGAGTCGCTGCCGCAGGAGATGAATGAGTTCACGCCGCTATACAAAGGTAACGGGGCTCCTCGTCATCGCAGATGTGGGAGGCTCAGCGGGGTTAAGCCTGTGGATAGTGCTTGGACGGTGCGGCCGCCATGCAGCTGTTACGGGTTGCGGGGCTACGTGGTGAATGGCTGAGGACAGTGCAGCGCAATCCACTGTTGTGCTGTACTTTGCTCCCCCGCCTATATTCCATGTACACTAACTTCTGGATAAAATTTAGTATCTAAAGGAATGCTCACATTTTATAGATCACCAGTCCCACATTACAATATACTTATCAATTGTGGGGAAACACAGTCATTTAGTTTACCACATGGGGTTTCGCGACCAATATTATTCATAATGAAGTTTTTTGGTTAGATCACGTAATTATCAGTGCCAGTAAGGTGGATTTACTCTCCAACACACTGGTCGGCTGAAGTAGTAACTAACTTGCACGTTTTGTTTACGTGACGAACCTGACTGGCTGTGTGGGGTGGTGGAGGGTTACGACTGAATCATTTACTTCGCTGCACCGGCTGCTCATGCTGTGAACCGTGAAGAGAACCAGGCAGTGAAATGTTTCTCTTCGTACAATGGTCGACTGAGCCATTGTTAAATTCACCGTCATTCTGCGTGTATATATGTTTATAAGTATACTTGTATGTTTGCTATGCTTAATTATCATCCTATGTGATGCACATTGCCAAGTTGTTTGATTAAAAAACTACTTTGGCTTGAATAAAAATGGCTTTGCTGACTGTTGTATTTCAGGTCACAGGCTAACAAATCAGCACACTTTTAAACACCATCTGTTTATTGAAGAGAATCACAGATTTCGTTTAACCAGGATTAAGCTATGCTTTGTGTAATGCAGTTACAGTGTGGCATATTTTTAGAAACGTTAATCTTTTCATTTGCTGAGGGCCAGCAATTCCCAGTTAGTGCCATAGCACGCAATACAGTGGAGACTCGCTAATCCAGATAAATTGCGGTGGGACACTTTGTAAAAAAAATCATATCGGCGAGAACTTCGATTCACTCCCTTTATGAATACCCAGCAATCATTACTGTACACAACATAAAAAAAAATTCTAAATTGCTTTGTATAAAATATTTAGTACCAAAACAAAACTTCAACATTTGACAGGTATGTGCAGTATGTGCTTTTCCATAAGCTAATTGGGGGAAAAATTAATGTTTTTAATTCATCGTCAGATCTATTATGCGTTTGAATGCTACTCCGATTAAAGTGAAATTTGATGCAGTAAATTCTACTGCATTTGATTTCCAGCTGTATGCAATATGGTATTAGGCCGCGAATAATGTGTCCTATGTGCATTGTGTATGTTTACTATTAAAATGACTTGCCGTGTTTGTGGGAATATTTGTGGGGTAATGTAACCTGCCGTTCGTAAATGTTTGATACAGTTACTCTTGGAGGAGGACTTGAATGTCAACATGAATATTTGAAATTCACGTTGAGTTATGTTCTCTCGAGGTTGATTTCTGTTAAATGATGCTTGTGATGTCACTGAGACGCCAGGCCATGGTGCTTGTCTACAGCACCAAATAATGGGGGGGGGACCAATCCATTTAGCAAAATACCGCATGGTTAGTGTATTTTGCTCCCATCAATTGTTACGAGGGGAATGCGGTTCATTAACGGGGCTTTGTAAAATCGTTGCCGACTCAAAAAACACATTTTGTAGTTTAAATGGTCCCCGATTTCCTCTCAATGGTTACACGAGCTGAGAACAACAGAATCGCAAGCTTTTCATTTTCTTCGGTTTTTAAATACAGTGTATAGGCTTTTGGTACATACCTGAGATGGACACTTGAGCTGCTGTGGCTTGTGATTTATTTTCTATGCGCATTGCAAAATATGTGCTACCAACGAGTGAAACATGCTCTGGACGTGCGAACCAAACTTTGAATTTGTTCCCAATTATTTCTTTGAACTACAGGAAACAGAAGGTTTTTCGTTTTTCAAATTCAGTTCTGAATGTTCAGGTAATAGTTGTCTTTTAAATACAACACCTACTGCCCCCAGGGAACAGTGTCGAAAGTGTGCAGCTGAACAGCATGTGCGTGATTAAATCGCACATAGCACTGCGCGTGCTGATTAAGAGCGAGGGAAATTATTTTACGAGCTCAGTGTGGCTTGTGCACTAAGCGTGTTGGACAGGCTTTTGAGGGGAGCAATTATACGAATGTGAAGGTGGTCCTTATTTTAAGTGATGCCTTCAACAGTTTTGGTCATTGGTTGATAACCTGAGGTCCTTTATTTCACAAATGGAGTCCTGCTGGAATGTGGTTAGTCCTTCGAAGGCTGTGCTCCTTCACGCAAGAAATGCAAAAATAAAAATCTCGAACATACTTTGGCTGGATTTGTTAATGGAAAAAATTTACTTTTAATTTAGAGTTTAGAGTGTCATTATGGCACTTGTGTCACACATTGCAAGCTTTTAATTCTCTTCAGTTTACATGAATTGTTACGCACTCGAATGATGTCACCGATATGTCTAAATACATCGTGAATGCAGAGGCTTCGCCAGAGCGATATGGTACTGAACTTGACCCTGATATTCCTGTCCTTTGTCTCATGAAGTTTGAAGCCTGTGTTTGTCTGGGGCACACATCCTCGGGATTTATCAATCACCACTGTTTGCTTTCGGGTTGCTTCTTCCATTATGCAGGTAGAAATATAGTGCCTCAGTCATCGGGCATTGCCCTTCACAGGTCATACGCTTTCAAGACTTTTATTCTGTAAATATTTGGCATTTTGACAATTGTTCTGGTGAAGTTGTTGAAGGAACAAGAAGTATCTTGAACGATTGTTATTTTTCAGAGTGAGTGGATATTGACTGTCACAGTACAGAATACTTCATAAAGTATGTATCAGCAATGTTACTCCCTACCAGCTTGGATAGTCATTCAATTACATTTGTGAGCAAGAGGAGAAGCTGATGAATCATTCTTTGTTTTCCACACATCTTGCAATTTCGATGTTCATTATAAACGTGAAGATGAAGCACACGAATGCAGCTGTTTTGCCTGATATCTACTCCTGCACTTTAAATGTTGAAATGTTTGCCTCTGATGTGCACGAGACACTTAGTCAATTCCATGGATTGTACCCTTATGTTCTAATGAGGGACTATTACATGGAGTAGTGAACTTTCAATGGGATAATTGAGGTGTTGTGTTTTAGTATTATTGAGATTGGCAGTGCAGAGAAAGCATCAAAGGAAGTAAAATTATGCAAATAACACAAACTAATAATTTTAATATACAAGTCACCATTACAGTTATGCAAGCCAAAAAAGTAAAACAAATTAACATTCATAACGCCTGTCCACGATGCCTTACTCCTGAGAAATAGGAGCGATGCAGGTGGGACCCAAATTGCTAAACCTAAGCAGGTTGCCGACCCGTTTGCTCAGCACCGCTAAACATCTCCCCCCGCCATCTCGCGTTCCCGCAGGCGTGGTGTCGGTGCACTTTGAGGAGGACAGCGACGGCTACTTCACGCTCGTCGCCCACCTGTGCGCCGAGTCGGAGCCCGCGGGCGAGGCCGACGCCGGCGCCACCAGCGAGCAGCCGCGCCGCAAGCACTCGCGCCGCAGCTTGCGGCGCTCGACCAGCGGCAGCGAGCACGGCTCCGACAGGGCCTCGTCGGCGCCCGACGGCAGCGACACGAGCGAATGCTCCGTGTTCACCACTAGCGGGTGAGTCTTCTTCTTGTCGTACGGCTGATGTCGATGCAGAGCAAACAACTACAATTTCACATTCAGGTAGTAGGACGACCGCGTCGAGAGCAGCGGGAAGAGTGTGTCGCTGTGATGTCTCCTTCGAACCTTGCGCCGTTATACGTTGTGTGGTCTGTTCTGGAGCACCACAGGTGCGCACTACTGGAGAGTTTTACATTTGTGGGCAGGCGAGTGCACCGCCCAGAAATCCTCACATTATCTGGCCTCTTTCCAGGAGTCGTTGGTGTGCATTTTAAGTTGGCTTAAAAAGCAGGGTGAGGGGATCTTATCCCTCGTGTGTCAGATACAACCCTGTAACTTGGTTTTGAAATGGTCTACAAACGATATCTGTTTTTGCAAGCTTCTTCTTGGACAACATTTTATTTTGATTGGGCAATGCAATGCTTTGTCTGTGGGGTTCTTAAGCCCTCTGGATTACACACAGATGTTCTTATTAAGCAGAATGTAACTTGCTAATCCCTTGTTTTTTTATTAAACACTTCCGATATTGTGGTAGTTATATTTTGGTTATTATATTCCATTGTGTCTATATAAGTATAGATATATAAAAACAGTTATGGTGAATTAAGCAACCTGTTGATGCTTAAACAAATACATTCAATGCACCGTTTCACGTCCATGGAGCTCGATTAGAATTCCACTTTCGAGCTGTGTGCATTTACATGTTCAGCGATGAAGGAAATACTGCTTACAAGTGTGCCCCTGTATCTCATTGATATTCATGTCATGTGTTTGTGTGCGTTTAATTTGTGTTCACGTACGGTTTTACATATTTAAGGATTCAATTTAGTGCTGTGGCAATATTTACTCAGTCTTTGTAATGCCTTGTCGAGATATAAAAATAGAGGCTGTTATTATTTCCCCAGGAGTTGCACTGTTGTTAAAGGTGGCTTCTTCACTGTACATTTCAGTGTAAGATGTCACTTAATGGAATATCAGCTACTTTTGTAGCAAATCGGAAAGTTACTGTGCATAGATTTGTTCATTAAAACGAATACAGTAAAACCTTGGATTGCGAGCATAATTCGTTCCAGAAACGTCCTTGTAATCCAAAGCACTTGTATATCAAAGCAAATTTCCCCATAAGAAATAATGGAAACTCAGATTATTCGTTCCACAACCCAGAAATATTCATGTAAAATTATTAATACAAAATACCTTTTTATATTTTTAGTATTTAAATTTAATATAAAGTAATCAAATTTATTAATTACATTTAATCGTGGCTGGTGTGAGGGAGACGAGGGAGAGGAGGAGGGGCCATTGTTGCAGTACAGTTACTAAAGAAAGTCACTAAACTTGGACACAAAATAAAAACAATGCTTTACGCGCACACACGTGGTCACAACACGATAGTAAACAGTCTACGCTCGCACGGATGTTGACTATACGAGCGAGGCACGCCGACTGAGACTGAGCATGGGGGACGATTACCCACAATCCCGCAGCGAGAGAGATAGAAGAACCATCGGCTCAGTTGTGATCATGTGACGCTCGGCAGACAAAGCGTATACTGTACGTACTACTTGTATTGCAAGACCTCGCTCGTTTATCAAGTAAAAATGTATTAAAAAAATTTGCTCGTCTTGCAAAACACTCGTAGACCAAGTTACGTGCAATCCAAGGTTTTACTGTACTTTTGCTTGCAATACATGCATTGGATCATTTATGTATAAAATGTATATTCAAATGATATGCTAATGTGTTAATTACCACCGTGCAGATATAAAACAAATGAGCCGGACATTACAAATCAGACACAGTGCAAGCTGGTTAGACATCACAAGTGAGCCTAAACATGACAGACATTCACTGCAAGCAAGACCCGACAATGGAGATTGACAATTTAAACAAGGCAAGCAATGTAAAATAGACAACACAAGGGAGACAGACAAAACAAATGAGACCGAACAAATGAGCCAGCATTCAGATGAGAAACAACAAACTTTGCAGATGAAAGAGACGGCAAAAATGAGATGGAACGAATTAAACAAAACTAGTTTTAACCATTACCCTGGACCATGATGACAATTGAATCGCTGGGATGAGAATCGTTTCCCACCAAGTCCCGCAGGTACACCACCCACATTTGTAGGCTTCAGAACATTCAAGAAAATTCTTGCCAATGAATCAAATGAAACGGAGGGGGTGCCATTCCACACATCGCGAGCATGCCAACTTGTTTCCAGAATACTCATTTCAGCAGCCCTGTAAGTTAAACCAGTCGACTGAGTTTATTTTAAGCGTCGTTTATTGTTAACATTGTTTTGACCTTCCTGAGAATGTGTTATTAATAGGGTCCACGTCTCTCCTGTACAATATCTTGCTTCGTCAGCCACGCTGTGTTTGGGTGGCTTGCGTTGATGCAGTGCATCGTTGTCTCATGGAAACGTAAACCGATTTTTTGTATCGCCCTTTTCCTGCCATATCTAATGTGCATTGTGGAGTTATTTACCATATCCAGGTGATGGCATTGCCTTTGTATTTAATACTAATGCAGCAATTCGTTTTTTTACCAATTCAATAAATTTTGCTGCATTGGAAAAGTAACTGCGTTGCTCTGCATTTTCTAAGTTTTAGATTGTTTTGGCTCAATACTGAGTTGGCTGCAAATTAATTGCAGTTTTTCTACTTGGCCATATTAATGTTGATCAGCAGTCCCCTTCTGTTATCGTTCCCAAAAAATTGGACCCTAGTGCGATTGAATTAGGGAGCCAAGTTTGTGTTGGCAGTATACATATTGCAGTTTGCAGCAGCAATACTGCATGCATCATTACTGGCATTTTTATCCGAGTTTGAGTCAGAAATTGTCAACAATTACTAATTATTACTAATAGGATTCTTGTAGGGCTTCATGTGCGTAATAACTACGGTGCTTTGTCACTCCACTGCTGGATGAAGGCCTCTTCATGGCTATCAGCCGTCTGTGTTTTTTTTACGATACTTCATCATGCCGGCGAGTGCAGGTTTGGGGAGGCCCTAGGAGCTGTTCACACATCACTCATCACTGATATCAGCCATGGCTGAGAATTGAACTCAGTTCACCGGGTTTAGAATGCAGTACACTAACCACTGTGTCAGTTCCCTTTCTTCCTGCCACTTAAAAATGAATTGAAATAAATGATCCCAAGTTCATGCCGTGTTTGTACATGCGCGTATATACAGAATGCAAGACCTCAAGAGCCCAAAGGTTGAGCTGCACATCCAGTCGGAGGCTCCCTTCCAAATGCTCGATGGAGGGTGCAGCTCCTCTTCCGAGAAGATCAGCTTCAACCCGTGGAGCCTGCGCTGCCACAAGAAGCAGCTGAACCGCATGCGCTCCGAGTCCAAGGACCGCAAGATGTTCAGTATCCTCCCCCATGCAGCCGTGCAGAATGTGTCATCGGTGTTCATTTTATGAACGTCCCAATTGGATCCCCGTTGTGCTTTCATGAGACGGAGAATCCATTGGGGGGTCTCTCTCGTAGAGCAGTGCAAACCTGAGCATTCGCAAATGGCTTATGGACGCGGATATTGCAGAGTTACCTCTTAAGTTCTCCTCAAGTGAGCTATGAACCGTATAGTAGGGGCAGCACTTTCTCCGCTGCTCGGCCATATGAGATCATTTTCATCGTAGGGCAGTCAAACTGATATTTTCATTATCAGAGCTGGAAATTAGCCAAATGAGTCCATAACAAAATGTTAGGTGATGTTTTTCTTGTGCAGATCCCAGTTAAATCACAATCAGCTATCTATGGGACCTCCTTTGTACAGTACTAAAATATGACAATAGATTTTCCCCTTTTTTTCTGTCAACAAAACAGGTGTTAAGATGTTAAAACACCAAACTTAAACCTTTTTACAAGGAATCATGTCTGAATTAACCACAATACTTGTGGTCAGAATGCAAATAAAAAACTTATTCTGATAATATATGCATTGTATTTGGTTCTTTCGGTAAAGTCACGTATTTATAAAATAAAATAAATCGCAACACAATCGGTCGTCCTCGGGTAGACGCTTGTGTTGCTCCCGAAACGTCGTGATTTATTTTATTTTCTACCCACGTGACTTTACCGAAAGAACCAAAGAGTACGGATTCCTGCAGTCACGAAAGCTTCAAATCAATATATGCATTGTCTTTGAAACTGATGGGTCCACACCAGAGACAGCTTTCTTTTGAGCCTGGTGTGATTTTTGAAGTCGTTTTCATTCAGTGGATGTAGAGGTTTAAGGTTTTAAAGGTATTGCAATAAGCAAACAAATATAAAAAGCACTTAATATTGGAATGAAACTTACGAATGAAACCCTTGTTTCCTAAAAAGCGATTGGCTCAGTGACTTAAAAATTCGGGGCTAACGGTTTTTCCACCAACATGAGACTTGAGACGGTTCGAGGAATAACGGTCCCGTGTAAATTGCGCTGAAGGCGGCTGGTTCCTTTAACGGCGGCACTCGCAGAGTTCCTGCTGCTGGAGAACGTCGTGTCCCAGTTCAAGCTGCCCTGCATCCTGGACCTCAAGATGGGCACGCGGCAGCACGGCGACGACGCGTCCGAGGAGAAGGCGGCCCGGCAGACACGCAAGTGCCAGCAGAGCACGTCCGCCCAGCTGGGCGTGCGCGTGTGCGGCATGCAGGCAGGTGGTCTCACGTGCGCTCTCGCCGCAGAGGCGGAAGCAACGGTGCCTGTAGAATCGTCACGTCGTTTGTACAATTGAACTTTATGGCGGGGGAGACCCCGGGGTCCCATAAGCCCCCGGCACTCGCATAAACATATTATAATGTAAACAAAAACTTAGCTCTTTTTCACCAACGGGTTTGAATGATGGTGGCAAGTGTTGTCTTGTTAAACTATGCCTTTAAAACTGAAAACTACTTACCTGCAGTACATGTATTTAAATCCACTATCGAAAAAATTATTCACACCCCTCTGTTAATCATCGTGTTTCTTATAGTGTGGATTTGTGAACACACTTTGTAAACAGTACATAAAATAGTATGCGTTTTCAATGCGCTATTCATATTGCAACAAGCGTTTCTGCCAATGTTACTCTACAGAGTAGTCGGTCGCCGCTGCTCTTATCCACATTGATACGAGCGGTATGTGGGGACTATGGCTTAACCGCAAAAAAAGCCTATCTACACAGATGCATACGGACAAGAGAAGTATTATCAAACAGGAGGAATTAACGCTGCAACGCATCTCATCTCTTAAATATCTGCAGGTAATAGGATTGTCATCGATTGATTCTGGCTGCAGACATTGGTAGGTCACAAATAATAATGAAGATAAGAGAGCAGTTTCGCTGTATTGTGCAAACTGTTATGACAAATTAAGGACTTAAGTCGTGTAGGCAGGTTGAGCAGCTTTGGATAAGACTTATGATCCTGCCCATATCCGAGCATGGAGTACATGGAGTGCATTTGCTTGTTGAGCTCTTCTGCGCATTCGTCCTCGCCTCACTTGAACGACATTACAACAGAATGATCCGCGCCAGGTGGATCGTGGCGTTTATGTGCGTTGTGGGACAGAGTTGCCAAAAAATAATGTACACGATGCACACTATTCAAAGTTGAAGGACAGACATTCCTGGGTGATTGTTGTAGGTATGATGTGTTACACTGGCAGGGCTTGTGATTGTTGTAGGGATGATGTGTTACACTGGCAGGGCTTCTGGATCGTCATTTGCACATTGCTTTGGTGGTTTGCGAGTGGAACGATTCAGACTTCTTACGTCCCCACTGCTGAATTTTGTAATTCTGGCCCATGGTTTGAGAATAGATTCTTTTTTATTAACATTGTGGTGAATGTATCGGTCGGGGTGACCTAAACCCATTACATACAATGTCTACATATACCAATTGAAAAACATGACTTACTACACTCAACACATATATAATGAGCCTGAGGGTTCAAGATTAATCGATGAGCAGACGCATTGGTAGCAGTTGTTACACTAGTGTGTGATTTCAGAGGTCTTGGTTTTGATATCAACAGCATAACAGCGTCCTAACTGGTGGGACATTCAGGGCTAGTGTTATGAGAGCCAGATTTTGATACTTTAGTTACAATTATTTTTAAATATATATTTAAAGTGAAATTATTATTTTTTACAAAGTTGTAAACATTTTATAATAGAATTGAAGGTGATATTTATCATGCAGTAGAAATGCACTTTTGACTCTATTTTATAATGGCATCAGCGAGTCACTCGCATTACCCTTGGAGAACACTTCCACGCTGGGCACCGTCAGGAATCAAATCGCTGCGTGCGGACTGGCTGTGTTGCGAACGCAGGAACAGTATGGTCTTTGCGCGAATCTCTCCCGCTGCGTACCCTGCAGGTGTACCATACGGACACGGGGCACTTTCTGTGCCGGAACAAGTACTACGGACGGGGGCTGTCCGAGGAGGGCTTCCGCGAAACCCTCTTCCAGTTCCTGTTCAACGGGCGCCACCTCCGTCGCGACCTCCTTGATCCCATAATCGCCAAGCTGCGCACGCTCAAGGCCGTGCTGGAGCGGCAGGTGTCCTACCGCTTCTACTCCAGCTCGCTGCTCATCATCTACGACGGAAAGGAGCGCAAGGTCGAGTTGCGGCGCCAGCTTTTGGAGGCGACAGGGCAGGGCAACCAGCAGGACGTCGCCGTCGCGACCACCGCCGCGGGCGGAGGCGGCGGCGGCGGCGGCACCGGCGGGAACGGAGGCGGCCTCAACACCAAGGTGGACGTTCGCATGATCGACTTTGCGCACTCCACCTTCAAGGGTTTCCGCGACGACCAGACCATCCACGACGGGCACGACCGCGGCTACGTGTTTGGCCTGGAGAGCCTGCTCAAGATCCTGACGGAGATCCGGGATGAGAACGCCTGATGGGCCGAGAACCTCGACCCCCCCCCCCCCCCCTTGTCCGCTGGGGCGGGGGACAGCGCTTCGTCTGTCGTCTTGGCAGAGCCAACGGCAGTCGTCTTGAGCACGCGAAGCAATTGTACGTTTTGTCAGTCTGCGCCACGGCCCTGTCTGCCGAACGCTGTCTTTGTCAAGCAGGCGGGCGCACAGTAGCTCTGTAATCGTCACCCTCGACCACCCTGAGTGAGTGTTTGCACGTTGAGCACTTGTGCGATGGCAGCGTAAGAACTCCCATGGGGGATGGTTATTTTCTTTCCGCAAGATGTCTTCAGTTTAAATTTTAGCACGTTGAGTTTGTCATTAGGTATCAACAGGGTTTCAATAGCTACAGACAGGTGACTAAAAAAGAGAAAAATGAAACAAAATGTTAAAATATTTAAAATATTCCATCTATTCACGTCATAAAAATTATCTTTGATTTGCTGTTTGTAATGCCTAGATGTTTATTGTGATGCCCACATCTTTGATTTTATGATGTGCCCAGACACTTGAAATGCTGGCATTTATGGATTCCAAGTTGACAATTTTTTCACTTTGTCTCACTGAAGCAAATGTGTTTCAGGAAATTTTCACTCAGGATCTCCGATTAGCACGGTTGGCTACGTACGGTGCGAAAGAAGTTCAACATACATATATAGCTGAATGCGTGTGAAAGTGTTTTTGACATGTTTGAAAGGCCAGAAACAATGTGTGTTAGAAGGCTGTAACAATCCTTGCAGGCCAGCAAGCAGGGGACTTCATCACCAACTTTATTACCCGATTAATTGTGTAATAGAAATTGGCAGAATTACAATACCAACTTTGTTTTTTTAAAGTTAGGTTTGGATAGAAAATGTTAATTCACTTGGTCATTTTTCAATGTGGAACATCCTTGGATATATGCTGCAAGAATGCTGGATAGGTTCGAACTACTATTTTGGAGACAGGCACTAATCACTTCACTAGCCATGCATTTTAATACTACAACATTTTGCTGAAGATTGTTTGCCAGTGTACCAATATAAAACGGCAAGTACAAGGGTAAGGACTGGTGGAGCTTTCTGGAATTGACTGGAATCGTTACCAAGAGAACTTACATCATCAAAAGCCCCAATGGGTTTTCTGAAAAGAATTAGGAGGCAAAATATAACGACATAACTATAACATTGGCACAGCAGATTGTTAATATTGTAAAATTGGTCGGTCTGCAATAAAAATACCTTTAAATTGCCAAATGTTTTCAAAATTATTGCGTACCTAGACATGATCACAGGACCTTTTATTGATCTGTGTACATGTTTGTGTAATTTACAAGAAAGTATGAACCATCCAAAAATTTCCTCAATACAAGGCTAAGTATAAACAAAATTCATGCATTTGTGATCTCTGAAGATACACACATTCAATGCTGTGAGAATTGTGAACCATACAAAATGGAAATTACAACACAGTCCTAATTGGATACAATAGGGCAAAGTATTGCTTTGTTCTCACAAAGGTCAGCGCTGCAGTATTGCTTGTGATTCGTGCTGCCCCCGCTGCCCTTTGCATGTAATGATTCTCGTGGACCCACTCGTTTTTGTGATCTGCCTGTTCTTGGTTATTTTGTTATCCTAAAATTATATGAGCATTAGATTTGCATACATATCAATCTTGGTTTTACATTCATTATTGAAATCATATTAGTATAAGATGTATTTCATTATTTTTATGTCGAGTCTGCACAACTTTGGCTGAAATACTACACGATATTTGGGTAAGCAGGCAACAGGATTTGCTGTAATTCTTGACCAGCCTTCCCATTGAATTACATTTTTGTGAACATGCCGGCCATATGCATTCGGGATGCGTTTAGGATATAAATGTCTGGATTTTTAAGGACATTCTCTGATCTCTTTGGCATTTCTGGATCATGTACCTTCTTTTGTATTTGTATCTTCACAGCCACACAAAGTGATTTCACTCAATGCTGGTGGCAGTTGGCAGAAGTGTCACCTTGGTGTCATCACTTTACGTTTTGGAATCATAATAAAAACTCAATCACCAGAAATTAGCTATGTATGCCCCTAAAAATCTCGGGTTTTTTCATATTCTAAAATTGTAAGCACATTCCCAATATGCATATCCATAATAACTACCATGGACAACACTCGCAAAAATGTTTTTCCATGTGAGTACCTTTCCACTTGGCATAAAAACAATATTTGTTGCATTTCCCCCCAATATTTGCAGGACGGATGGGAATGACCTTCGAATTCTCGGTTGTGTTATCTGCCAAGCAATTTAAAGTAATAAACTTTACTTTAAATTAACTGAAGAGTTTCAGTAACCTTTACCCAAAAGGTTATTTCTATTTGAAGGCATGTCTTCTTTTTTACTGCCAAATAATGATTCAGCTGCAAAAATGGCAGTGTTTTAGCCCTGGCCAATTTCATGAAATACATCTTATAAACTATTCTTTGGGTCTTTCGGTAAAGCCACGTAGATATAATTTTTTTTCTAAATAATAACAATATCACTACGTTTCGTTCGCAACACAAGCAAACTGTATTGAAATTCATCTGTAAACATTTACCTCCCTGTTATCAATCAAAGCACTAGAAGAAGGTGTCTGATGTCAAAACGTGTTGATCGTTACTATAGATGAGGTTTACCAAACATTGTTTCCTTTGTACCAGCTATGGACATAACAGAAGTTGTTCTACATTGTGATTGACGGGCTTTGCGCACTGGTTAAGTCACATTGTGAAGATGGGCTGTGTGGCTCAAAAAGCATTTAGCTGACATATCTGGCTTGTGTAAATGTAATGGTTCCCAAAAGAACATCTGCTTTGGCAATGCATGACTTCTCCAAGACATTTTTATAGCAGTTGTCAACCACAGCCCAAGTGTTATTCTGGCAGATTGCTTCAAACATTAGTTTCGCTTTACAGATTAGAACGTTGATAGGCGTTTAAAACAATGAATCTCACCATTGTCATGAACACTGCTTTTTAACTGTAAAGTTTCTGGCATTGTTCCTTCTTGAGGGCTGTTGCCCGAATTATCAGCTGTGTGTTTTTACTTTCAGTTGCAAGGCAGTGTTAATTGTGTGTGCTCTCTGCGTGTACGTATACACCACTGCCATCATAGTCAAGTTTATTTTAATGCAATTATTGACACCGTTTCTAAATGTATGCAGCCAACCCCCCATTAACTGTTTCGCATATTTGTTTTAGGCAACAGATGCTCTTTTCTGATTGTTATGGAAGTCTCAACCCGCTGGTAAAAGTGTTGAGCATCTTCACGGAGCGTCATGTCACCACACACATTTTGCGTTGTCTAGTACTGTACTTGGCAAGTATAAGAGTATGCACCGGTGTGGGTGATGTGGTTATTGTAAGCAATATCATATTAGCTGTTCTTGTGAACTAGCAGTGCAACACAATTGTCATGCTCAGGAATAACAAGTCATAATAAGTGTATCTGAATGACAGCTTTAAGCACCTGCCCATTGGTGGTAGGTAGATGGAGGTTCAGGTATTAATTTACTTTTTATGACATTGCTGGACCTTAGTTAAAATCTGAAGGTACCTTGATCATTGTCCACCTTGATCATTGTAAATTCACAATTTCACTCTGGATGGGTGTTGTTTGAATAAAAAATAGGCGTCTGTATAAATACAGATTGTGCTATGGCCATATGTTGTAAATGTTCTGGTTCATATGCACTTTTTCACTGAAATGCTAATATGCAGATGTTGGAGTGGCTGTACAATGTGTGGGGTAGTTCATATTGAAGTGGTTTATTTTGATGTAGGAATGATGCAAGCATTTGAATACCCAGTCTGTTATTCGAAGTGAGGTGTGATTAGTTCCTGTGTGTTTTCAGTACTGTAATGCTTGAGAGTATTTGCAAGGTACTTTGCACGTGCCAATGCACAAGCTCTCGTTCACCTGCACTCGTATAGTATTTCACAATTGTTTAAACGTTTTACTTTGATCATGCACCTATTAGAAAAGCATTTAGACAATCGGAATACAAATGAGAATGTCTGCATGACAATGTTAATGTTTAAGTGTGCAGTGTTTGTGAAAAGCAAGTGCATAGCTGTTTTTTATACTTCAAGCTCATCTGTAGGGAGTGCATTTCATGATGACATCACGGGTTTAGTGTGTAGGGTCCTTATGTTCTCTAAACCATTGAGTTCTAAATGATCCAGTGGCACACGGGTTGTGTCTGACGGTTCATCCAGAGACTGGCACACAAACAATTATTGCTTAGGAGCCACCAATAAGATGACACACGTTCTTTGAAATGCCTAAATAATGGCATTAGAACGTGGTGCCTGGGTTAGCCCATTCTGCTTCCCTTTAACAGAGCTGAGTTGCAAGCATCTCACACTTCAACCTAGAACGGAATGTCCTTGGTGTACTACTGTCAGTTGAAAGAGAACAGACACTTCCCTGTAATACATTAACACCCCCCTCTTATGCTTTGACTGCCACTCCCGGCCAAAAATTTACAATTTTTTCGGTCAATGAATAAGCTGATTTGAAATTTGGCTGTTAACTTTTCCTCCTCGTGTGCACTGTTTCTTGGGGACTTTTCCACGTCATGCTGTATGCCACAATGTGTTGATGAATGAAACATATCACGATTGTAATCAAGATTCCCCTGCATTCTCATTAACCCAGTTAGTTTGTGCGATTATTAAACTATATCATTGGCACGTACTCTACTGTAATTGACCCAACATGAATTGCGCCTGGTAAATATGAAATGTATTATCTCCGATTTGCTCGGTTGCCTACGTACGGTGCGAAATAAGTTCAACATCCATACATCCTAACTGGCCATAAGGATAACGCGTCCATTGTGTTTAGAATATCTTCTGCGGTGCTGACGAATCTAAAACGCGTATAAGTCCATTTCAGGTCGCATTGAAGGCGTTTGTGTAAGTCGGCGAATGTTTGACACAATGGTGACCTGGTAATTTGATTGGCAAAGTTGTCGTGGAGTGCATTGTACATGTGACCAATAGCAGGTGGGCCACGTGTCCTCTTGCAGGCTTGTTAATTGATTGACTAGTTGCGTTCAAGTGCTTCACTGGATTATTTTCTTATAACACGCACTGTCATGTAGTGTTGCTTTAGCTACGTGTGACATCACTTGTAAGTGTCTAAAAAGAATTATGTATTAAGATTAAGCTGAACTTTTTGCTAAAAAATTCCCTGTTTACAAGGGATTTTTTTTCTTTACGGTCCAAAGTATGGAAATTTTTTGTGTGCTACATTTCCTGTTAATTCAATCAATTTTATATCATCGTTGAAAAGGTGAAATGTTCATTGGATTAAATATATCAACTGCTAAGCGTTAACTGTTGGGTTTTATTAAGAGGTCTTTAAGTAGTTATGCTTTTTTTCCAGGCCAATATGTGCTGTTGAGCTTTACGTTAAAATGTTATGCACTATTAAATGCCCACTCTTGAGTTTCAAAATATTCAAGAATATCAGTGTAGAAGGAACCTGTTTATCCTGTAATGGGTAATTTATATATTTTGATCATAATTCAAAGGGCATTTGAATCATTGTACTGCCAGACACCATTGAGTTGATTTAGTTTTAAAACGCGAGAAGAATGACGACAATGCTTTGAAGAATTTTTTGGCGGACGTCTTCAACTGAAGTGAAACGTATGCAGTGTTGCAACTTAAGAATACAGTAACTGTAAGTGTTTAGTGGTTATGTATATTTCCAACGCGCTTCTTGGCACCACTCAGAGCCTACATCATCGTACGGAATGCGCAATATTTATATCACTCAGAGGACAAGTTGAGTGGGGAAATGTAATGGACCAAGGAAACTACATCCGTATATATATCTAACGTGTTCTACAATGGTGCAGCTTTCTTCACGACCTGGAGAAAACGCTCAAAGTCTCTCGGGAGACTAACAAGAGTACACTTATTCATATTCTACGTTTTATTGAATGACTTGAGAATGCTGGAAGACGAGCGTCTGTCTCATGGGCTTGTCAACATGGAGGCACAGCATTCATTTCACCAAACGGTCCTGTCTCTTGAGTCTTGGAGTTGTTACGCTTACATTTTGCAATTGATTACTTTTGTGCGTGTAATTTCTTCACTCTCCCTTTCGAAATAGATGCGTTCACTTGAATTCGTGGCTTCGTTGGACATTTCATTCTCTAGAAATAGCCCCGAGAGTCGAAACGGATCTGTCGCATTCAAAGTATCAGCAGACGTGGATGTTGTCTTAGCTGCTGGGGTGTACTATACAAATGCAATTCATTCTAAGGAGCGTTTCTCGAATGATTATTGATAAGACGGAAATTAAGAAAGTATATACCTGTTTTTTATGCTTTTGGTAAAAACTATTTTAGATGTGTATGATTTATGAAAATAGTGTTACTTTGATATGTTTCGCTCGATGTATATTGGTTGTAGAAATTGATTGTCAATTACTGTTGAAGCGATTGTGAATCGTAAATCGAGGCCAATCCAGCCGGACGTCACGTGGCGTAGTGAGCAGCCTCTGTCCGAGCCCTCCGTGTTGAGACTCTTCTCGTCAGCGTGCCGCGTCGTCTTGGCTTTATGTCAGAGCCCCTCAGAGGGGGGCCACGCAAGGACCAATCTACAAATATCGAGCTGTGGAATGCTTTTATTCTCTTCTCTTCCCGTTGACTCGTTACTCTTAATGGCTCTCGTTTTGACTGGTGTGGTTTATATACCTGATCATTTTGCACTCGTGTTACGAAACAAGTGTTGCCTACAACATACTTTACGATCTAAAAACATTAAGTGCATTGTTACATATTGTTACACTTCCTGTAAGACGAAAGCAAATTATCAGCATTTTCAACCCTAAGAAGTGTATCACATTATTGGGGTTAACCTTGCAATTAATTGTAACACACTTGTAAAATATCTGCATAGTTTAAAACATGCAGTAGCTAATTTCACTTCCTTTAGCTATAGGTACATACAGCATATGTATCCCTTGATTAATCTGATAATACATCTTCCTTCATTTCTCTCGTCTATTTACACACTGATGGTAAACCCCAAAATATTTTACTGCACATTTGTGGCCTATACAAGCGTGTTGTTTATGCAGAACATATCTTGTGTATTTCAGTGTGCTGGCATTGATTTGAATATATAAAATATGTAATCGCTGATGTGTGTGTTTTGTGTTTTATATGTATATGTGTGTATATACATATAAATATATTTGCAGTAATGTATTTTTATCCCACTGAACCATTGCTGGTCTATGGATGTGTGCTTAGATATCAGACATGCCACTGACAACAATACACAAAGTTTCTTGGAATTTTGCACTGCAGTCAGCTCTGGTGACAACAACATTGTCACATGCAGCCACTAAATACCGGATCCCAACGTTCAAATCCACTAGTTCACTTCAAGCTTTGTGCACTTAAAACACAAGTTATCACGTTTGTTATTTATTAAATACAATTTATCAAGTGTTTTATCGGTTGGTGTAGTGAGCACTGAACACAGTTTAAAAGCTTAAAAAATCGCAAGTCTTGTGTTGTAAGTTTGCAATATTTAAGCAATTGGTTCCTCAACCGCAAGCCATTAACAAGTGTTGGACTCTACGGAGGGATTTAAGGAATGGAAATCGAGTAACTGGTTGGAGTATCAATTACGATCTGTATAATGCACAAATGATTGCCTGTTTACTTCCTGCCTTGTCACTCGAGATTGTGAATGTGGGAAACTGGCATGCAAGCTACTTTTCCAGTGAAAACATCACTTACATAAATAGTATAACTCGTGTTTTACACTGGAGTTAAAATTTAAATGTGCCACCATTTCAACAAATTCAGCAAACTTGTGAACATTTCAATTTGTTGATAAATTAGACGGCCCCATTTAAATATAGTTCAAAATATCCGTCACCATTGTACATATTGAGAAAAACAATAATCGTATACTGTGATGGAGTAGCATTTAAATTCCCAAAGGCACCGAGCTGAATGGGCAAGTCTGATGTGATTGTATCATATGTAAAAATGCAGATTCTAATGTATACTTTTGAACGTGTATGTAGAAAAAGAAAACATGGTATTTTATGAATTTCATTAGCACAAAGTGGTCATCAATTCCATTTGCAATGCATTTGATGGGACAAAGTTTAAAAATAATGCAATGTATTGTCTATTGCAGTATAACTAATGCAATGTATTGTCTATTTTTAGCAGTTTTATTTCACATGTACGTTGCTGTGTTTGCTGTAGCCATTAATGTTTGCCTATTATCTAACGCATTTAGCACTAGCGCTGGTGATGTTCTGTAAGCATATCCAAATCCATTAATAAATGCATTTAATTCAGACTGTATATCGTGATTTTTAAACTGTGTGACATAGCGCCAGGGGTCTTTTAAATGTGCATTTTGTATATTCTATTAAGCTACGGTTACTTTGAATGTACTGCAGCTGAAGTTATTTTCATTGAAGTTTTAAATTACTCTCTGGTGCTGGAAAATATAACATCGGTGGTAATAGAACATGGTTGACGATTTAATCGCTGGCTTTCAGGTCAAGTTTCAAAGAAAACACTGCAGTGGATGCACCATGAACATTTATTTCAGCTCAAACATGCTTACGTGTTACATTGTAAAAGCTAGGTAAAGGTGGAGCCTTGCAATTGCTTGCTCACGCCACTGCTCGCAGAAGGCTCTCCACTGTATGTATGTTGACTTTCTTTCGCACCGTACGTAGCCAAGCGTGCTGATCGGTTGTGCAAAGGGATCTGTAGAGAGTTGCTCTATCGGGTACGTTGCCCGACCTCACACTGGCCTGGTGTCTCAGAAGAGATGAGTGGACCCAACATACAACCACTGGGGGCCGACGGGTGGACTCGTGTGCCTATTTATAGTGCTTGGTGGATCGAGGCGGGAGGATTTAAGAAACGTATTCATTGTTTTCAATGCTCTGCCAGGAGATTGAAGGAGCAACCTCTGTAATGCAATTCAGCCTGCTAACCATTACATTGTGGCAGCATCCCATGTATTTATATAGTTACCATGTATATTTTAGGCACCTAACGATGCGTCAATTATGGGATTAATATCGATTCTTGTCCATAATTCATCGAATCGTGAAGTGGGGGTGGGGGGAGAACGTGTTACATGCCTCGTATATAAGTACTTTGTCAACTTATTTATGGTTGGTGTGTTAAGGTTGTCGAAGCATTTCGTATTTAAATTTGTTATAGAATCGTCTTAAACGTTTGCCTGTTGCTAAAAGGGAACACGTGCCACTATTAGCATGCCGGTCGCGTCGACAGTCATCACCATGGGTGGAGACGTGGGTGAGTGAAGGTCGTGGGAACAGAAACCACGGCATTGCCTTGGGGAGCTCGTTTTGGAACGCAAAGAGGTTGGTGTAGCCCACTGGGTTGGTGTGTGGAGACATCGTCAGCTCGACATGCAGCCTGAGACAGGCACTGGGGGTCGGCATGCTTTGCACTGCCCATGGAAAGCAGGCAACAGTCATGTACGTGAAATCGGCAAATGACACCATGTATGATGCTTGACACATCCAACCGATATGTCAGGACAAGTTCGCAAATGTGAAAAGGCGACGTCGAGTAATGATGCCAGTGTTCTTGGTTTAAATATTTGTCTCTTAAACCCCCAAAATAGGTTTCAAGTTCTAGCGGAAGGCAAACATGTAAACAATGCAACATTGAGCACGATATTTACACAGATGATACAATCTACAGGGATTGTGCACATATCGAGTGGTGTATAATACCAAATGATAAAATTCCCAAAGTACCAGTAAGAGCACAGTGCTGTATTTGTTTTGGTTTCGTTGAAGTCCCCAGCAGGAGCCACTTTCACACTCCGAATATTGCGCGAATAGAATCGCAACTTCAGAGGTCGCTGGTTCTGTTCAGGGCCATGGAACGTTTTCTGAGAATCATCGGAAAGCTCCTTGTCCACACAGCATCGTGAACGGCGTGTAACTCCACATTCGATCGGCAGGTGGCGTGTGTGGTGGGGGTAGAGGGTGGGTGCTCGCAGCGCGGCTTCAAGCCATCTGGCCCGCGTGCGAGAAGAGTCAACGCGTCCTCCCTCTGGGGGGGCTCCAGAGCGCCCTCCAGTGGGGCCCTTCCGCCAGCAGTGGTGAGAGCAACACATTGCATGGCTGCGCTTTTGGCCGCCTTTCGCCCAGCAGGGCTCACGTTTCACACAGTTGTTGCACCAATACAATGATTTACTGTCCTGTATTCTCAACCCCAAGCCAGCAACCGAGGGTTCAAAACCTTTGTTGATAGAGAGGGTAACCGTGCCATCTCTGTAAACTACAGAGACCCTCAATGAGTAATACATTATCCATGATTAAAAGTGCTTTCTATGTGCAAAGCGATAAAGCAAATAGCACCATGAACCGGGGCGACCTCAGTTCGATTTCTGGTTCACCATTAACCCAAGTGAAAAAAAAAGTTGAGTTCCCTGACCGGGAATCGAACCCGGGCCGCGGCGGTGAGAGCGCCGAATCCTAACCACTAGACCACCAGGGAGCCACGTGCGGAGTGGCCGCACAACAGCTGCTATCGTTCGCCGCTGATGATGGTGAAGTATGGTGAAGTATGGTGAAATATGGTAAAGTATGGTGAAATATGGTGAAGTATGGTGAAATATGGTGGAGTGTGGTGAAGTATGGTGAAATATGGTGAAGTATGGTGAAGTGTGGTGAAATATGGTGAAGTATGGTGAAATATGGTGAAGTATGGTGAAGTGTGGTGAAATATGGTGAAGTATGGTGAAATATGGTGGAGTGTGGTGAAATATGGTGGAGTGTGGTGAAGTATGAAGTATGGTGAAGTATGGTGAAGTTTGGTGACATGGTGAAGTATGGTGAAGTATGGTGAAATAGGGTGAAGTATGGTGAAGTATGGTCAAAGGGCTTTCGTGTCTGGCATGATGTGGGGAAGCCTCCGTCAGCGGAACGAGTGGACGTGCTTCATTCATATTGTCAACGTACACACACTAGTCGTGGAGCTGAAAATGTTTGCACATCTGTGATAAAGCAGCTTGGCAGAGGTGTTGGTTGGGTGTCAGATCACGCAGGGCCAGCAGAGGGCTGCAGGGAGGCAGTACAGCAAGCAGGTGGCTGTTCTGTGTAAAAGTTGGATTTTTGTCCCCCTCTTATATGGTTCTCTACTTTTCTCCTGCAAGTGAAAATACTGTACTGTAAAGATGATGAACAGGTCTAGATCATCAAACATCTTCCTTATGAACTATAGACACAATATACCGTCGAACAATGCTTCGGGGAGGAGACGGCAGGGCCTCGTTTTAATCGGAAAATATTAAATGTAAAATGAAGCCATGTGCGTCACGAGTCACCCAATCTTCCCGCAAGTTCACAAATGTCAAGGTTTTTATTAAAATGTTACAAAAAACTACTACAGTATAGTACTGTCAGTACAGTATCGTAAAAATAGCGGCCTCTAATGCCTGAAATTGTCATTACGAAGCTAAACCCCCAGTGAAATGAAAATAAACTAACCGCATTCATCAATAAGACTGCCCCTTAAATGAAAACAGTATATGCAATAGGCGACGTTTCGGTCAAGTGGACCTTCTTCGTAACACTTGGGTAAAAAAATGAATAACCCAACTAAAACGAACACGCGAGCAACAACATAAAAGCACGTGTTCCCTCAATGAGTAAAACACTATTCATGCATACAACGTGGTTTCTATGCGCCAAAGCGATTACGCAAGTAGAACCATGAACCGGGGCAACCTCAGTTAAATTCCTGGTTCATCATTAACCAAACTGAAATAAATAAATAAAAGTTGAGTTCCCTGACCGGGAATCGAACCCGGGCCGCGGCGGTGAGAGCGCCGAATCCTAACCACTAGACCACCAGGGAGACACGTGCGCGCTCGCCACACCGCCGCTGATATGGTCGCCGCTGTCGATGTGGCAACAGTAGCAGCAGCAGTAGCGGCAACAGCAGCAGCAGTAGTAGCAGCAGTAGCAGCACGTCTCGTGAAGCCCAGGGGAGCCGCATTCACCAGAGAGCCCTCTTTCTTCTTCTTCGCTTGACGAGGGACGCGTGCTGTGCACGGGGCGGCGGTCACACGGATTATGAGCTGTCCATAGCAAACGCACGTGTTGTGTGTGTACAGTGTGTGTGTGGTGTGTGTACATAGTGTGGTGTGTGTGTACATAGTATGACAGTGTGTGTGGTGTGTGTGTAGTGTGTGTGTAGTGTGTGTGTGGTGTGTGTAGTGTGTGTTGTGTGTGTGGTGTGTGTGTAGTGTGTGTGTGTGCAGTGTGTATGCAGTGTGTGTGTGTAGTGTGAGTGTGTAGTGTGTGTGTAGTGTGTGTGTGTTGTGTGTGTGGTGTGTGTGTAGTGTGTGTGTGTTGTGTGTGTGGTGTGTGTGCAGTGTGTGTGTGGTGTGTGTGTAGTGTGTGTGTGTTGTGTGTGTGGTGTGTGTGTAGTGTGTGGTGTGCAGTGTGTGTGGTGTGTGTGTGGTGTGTGTGTGTGGTGTGTGTGTGGTGTGTGTGTGGTGTGTGTGTAGTGTGTGTGTGTTGTGTGTGTGGTGTGTGTGTAGTGTGTGTGTGTTGTGTGTGTGGTGTGTGTGCGGTGTGTGTGTGGTGTGTGTGTAGTGTGTGTGTGTTGTGTGTGTGGTGTGTGTGCAGTGTGTGTGTGGTGTGTGTGTAGTGTGTGTGTGTTGTGTGTGTAGTGTGTGTGTGTTGTGTGTGTGGTGTGTGTGCGGTGTGTGTGTGGTGTGTGTGTTGTGTGTGTGTTGTGTGTGTGTGGTGTGTGTAGTGTGTGTGTGTTGTGTGTGTGGTGTGTGTGTGTTGTGTGTGTGGTGTGTGTGTAGTGTGTGGTGTGTGTGTAGTGTGGTGTGTGTGTGTACATAGTGTGTGGTGTGTGTGTACATAGTATGACAGTGTGTGTTGTGTGTGTGGTGTGTGTGTAGTGTGGTGTGTGTGTAGTGTGTGTGTGTTGTGTGTGTGGTGTGTGTGTGGTGTGTGTGTAGTGTGTGGTGTGTGTGTACATAGTATGACAGTGTGTGTTGTGTGTGTGTTGTGTGTGTGGTGTGTGTGTAGTGTGGTGTGTGTGTAGTGTGTGTGTGTTGTGTGTGTTGTGTGTGTGGTGTGTGTGTAGTGTGTGGTGTGTGTACATAGTGTGTGGTGTGTGTGTGTACATAGTATGACAGTGTGTGTTGTGTGTGTGGTGTGTGTGTAGTGTGTGGTGTGTGTACATAGTGTGTGGTGTGTGTGTGTGTACATAGTATGACAGTGTGTGTTGTGTGTGTGTTGTGTGTGTGGTGTGTGTGTAGTGTGTGGTGTGTGTACATAGTGTGTGGTGGTGTGTGTGTACATAGTATGACAGTGTGTGTTGTGTGTGTGTAGTGTGTGGTGTGTGTACATAGTGTGTGGTGTGTGTGTGTACATAGTATGACAGTGTGTGTTGTGTGTGTGTTGTGTGTGTGGTGTGTGTGTAGTGTGTGCGTGTCCAGAAGAGTTTGTGTGGGCAGTGCGAGGGGAATGGGCGTGAGCTGGCAGCCCGCCCCTGCCGTGACCACCACCACCACGGTGACCACCACCCCGACACACGGTGACCACCAGCACCACACACGCGGTAACCACCAGCACCACCACCACGGTGCCGAGTGGAGGAGTCGCGAGCAGCGCGGCAAGAAGGAGTACTAGTAGGGGCAGTAGTAGGAGTTGTAGTAGTACTAGGAGTAGTATTGGTGTAGTAGTAGTGTAGTAGTAGTGTAGTAGTAGGGGTAGTAGGATTAGTAGTAGTAGTTTAGTAGTAGGAGTAGTAGTAGGGGTAGTAGGAGTAGTAGTGTAGTAGTAGTGTAGTAGTAGGGGTAGTAGGAGTAGTACTAGTAGTGGTAGTAGAAGGAGGTCTCCTGCTCTCTCGTGCTGCGTCAACTGCGCCTCATTGGCATCGAGCAGTGGTATTGTGTGAGTACACGTGTGTGTGTACACGTGTGTGTGAGTACACGTGTGTGAGAGTGAGTACGTGTGTGTGTGTGAGTACACGTGTGTGTGTGTACACGTGTGTGTGTGAGTACACGTGTGTGTGTGAGTACACGTGTGTGTGTACACGTGTGTGTGTGTGAGTACACGTGTGTGTGTGTGAGTACACGTGTGTGAGTACACGTGTGTGTGTACACGTGTGTGTGAGTACACGTGTGTGTGTACACGTGTGTGTGTGAGTACACGTGTGTGTGAGTACACGTGTGTGTGAGTACACGTGTGTGTGTACACGTGTGTATGTGAGTACACGTGTGTGTGAGTACACGTGTGTGAGAGTGAGTACACGTGTGTGTGTACACGTGTGTATGTGAGTACACGTGTGTGTGAGTACACGTGTGTGAGAGTGAGTACACGTGTGTGTGTGTGAGTACACGTGTGTGAGTACACGTGTGTGTGATGTTTTAGTCGTCGTCCGCTTCAGAGATTAAATGTGCTGTTCATTTTGGATTTTGATGTTCTGAATTCAAATATGACATTAAAACAGCTGATTGGCTACTATTCCCAAGATATTGAAGTTTTTACATTTTACGTCCGTGCATATTGCGTGGATAGTTTTACTCACAGATTGTAAACCGACGTCTTGTGTTTGTGGTTGCTGTACATGTTAACATGTCAACTCTCTTTGTGATGTAACACTTTACAAGTCAGCAAAGGGGTTGTATAAATAACACTTATTATGAAACAAAAGGCAAAACACACTACGATGTTTGTTTGAGTACAGAGTTTAGTGCTTCTTGGCTCTCTCGCGTGCATCGTGTCGCTGTCCCGCCAGAGTCTGCGAGCACGGCAGGCAGGGCTCCGCCTCCCCCTAGGTCGACTCGGCCTCAATTGAGTACCCGGTGCGGTGTAAACATCGCCACTGGGGAGACAAAGGCGGCCGGGCGTGGTGCTGACCACCCAGCCCCTCGTGTGTGCCGTGCCGGCTCGCCAGCAGCACTTGCCCCAGCAGCAGCAGCAGCACTGCCGCATGCCACGGGGGTGTTGGTGGTTGTCTGCCCGCCACGGTTTAGACACTAAGAGCAGCAGCAGGAAGGTTCACGCGGCTGCTGCAGAGTCTCCAACTCGCCAGGCCTCACCAGGCCTCAACTCGTCACGTGGCTTAATGATCGTCTTGTCGCGTGTTCCGTGTCGCTGGGCACTCGCGTTAGGGCGCCGTGCAGAGTGCAACATCCTGCAGAGTGCAACATCCTGCAGAGTGCAACATCCTGCAGCATCTGACCCCACGCGGCGCCTCACCCCCAGCACAGCACAGCCAACAACGCCTATAGCACCTGTTCACTCGTTACCCAGACACCTATCCAGGCCGAGTCCGGCTTAGCTTCTCAAGTCAGAGACGAGAGTCCAGCCGGTGCGTTGGCCATGTAGACTGTATGCCGCATGCGGTGATGCAGCATGACTGCATCATGATGGTGATGATCATCAGCACTGCATTAGGTGGTGGTGGTGCATCACGAGTGGTGGTGATGCTGATGCGCCGTCTCGTATTCACCACGCAGTGCATTGGGGCTCTTGAAGAAGAGTCGTTTTTCACGTATTTCGAGAAGAAACCGTCTCTCGTGGTTTTGGCTGTCGACCCGTGCCCTAGGGGACCTCCATCGTTGTCCGCACTGCCATGGCTGCACAGGACGAGGGATGGGTGCTCTACTACTGGCCCAAGCTGGCGGGCCGTGCCGAGTTCGTTCGCCTTGTGCTGGAGGAGGCCGGGGAACCTTACACCGAGGTCAACGATGGCATTGAGGCCATGTTCTTTCAGGGCAAGCACCAAGAATACCCCGCGCTTGCGCCCCCGCTCATCCGCAAAGGTCCGGTGGTCATCAAACCCGCAGCGCTCACCTCCCCGACCCTTCGCGTGGACGCAGTACAGCGCTGTGCGCACGGCGCATTGCCAACCCACTGCTAGGTGAAGGCCTCCCCTTGCCGTGACGGCGATGGAGGTTGTTTGACCTACGGTACAGGTCAGTGCAGGTTGATCAAGATGCGGTGGGAACCAAGATCGGTACAGATTTCAGTGACACTGCCACGTTAGCTGTGGCCAAGAATTGAACTTTGGAAACTGGGTTTAGTTTAAATGGTTTATCCATAATAGAGGTTTGTTTTGGTTAGATCGCGTAAATATATAAATGTGTCGTTAAACCCGCCACCACCCGACACAGCCAACTAGTAAGGGTTGTCACGTAAACAGAACGTGGCCAATTCGTCACTAGTGCAGCACACCGGTTGTGTGTTGGAGGGTAAAGCCACAACATTTACAATCTGAGTACGACGTTCGCCAGTAATTACAACTAGCTTCATCAGGCGATAGCCAGATTTTTGAAGAAATCCTCCTGTATCGTTCCTTATATTAGAGGGATAGATGTGATGACATCACTTGTGAGCCCTTCTTACGCGATCTAAAGTAGATATGAACGCAGTACTGTATCTTGTCCATGGGTGCCCTCGCACCTGCTGTCCCACAGGATCGTTCACGCTGTCGCAGACGCCCGTCATCTGCCGCTACCTGGGCCGACGCCTGGGCCTGTGGCCGCAGAGCGAGGAGGACGAGTGGCACGCGGATCAGGTCAACGCCACGATCCACGACTTCATCGCAGAGGGTGCGTCCTCCCGCACCACCACCAACCCTGGCCCCGGCGGCGTCGCCACGGCCGTCTCTGTCTTCACGAGAGCCGTGCCTCGGTGGGGCTGCGGGGATCGTGTGACGATGTGACAATCGTAGCGTGGAGGTTCACGGCCAATATGATTTGTTAAAGATTTCTTGGGGTGAGGCCACGTAATGATGTCGCGAGATGTGTGCCGTGCGATATAATCGTTACATTTTTCCAGTGATTGTCCGTTAAAATTCGACGATAAGAAACCGATGCAGTTTTGTGATTGTAAAATAAAAAACCCCAACTGATGCGCAAGCAAGAAAAACTGCACGGCTTGGTCGAATTAAATAGCCAGAAGGTAACCGATTAAAGACTCTCTAGAGTGTGCCCCACTCATTACGCCAGGTTACAATGTACCTAAACATGCACGCTGTGCAAGTATTTTTTTAAGGTTAACCCATAATTTGCAGGTGTCATTTGAAGGTTTTTATCTCGTTAAATTTTTTACCCCTCCGTGTCTCACACAGGGCGTCTGGCTTTCCACGGGAAGGACTTCCATGCGTCGTACTTCACGCAGCAGGAGGAGACGAAGCCGTACATCGAGAAATTCGTGAAGGAACGGCTGCTCCGCTTCCTCGGACACTTTGAGGCCACCCTCAAGGCCAACGATGGAGGCCAAGGGTGTGTATTTGACTCTTCGCTGTCAACGTGTGCGTGCCGGAGGAGGACACCTCCCCACGCCCGGCAAGCCGTGGCGGGTATTTGACCATACTTCACCACGCTGGTTCGCGCAGGTTGGCGAAGCGGGGATGAGGGCGGAAGAACGGATTTTGCAGCACTGTCCGCTGCATGCTGCACCGTCTTTTGTGCATGGTGGTCACCCATCCCAGCACTGTGCAAGTTGAAATATGCTCAACTTCTGAGATGTGGTGAGATAGGGCACATTCCTGGTCATATGTGTACACAGAGACAAGCCGTTCTGTGCTACAGACTGCCTATGCAAGCGCAGTTCGTGACCATTTATTAAGTACGTCCCGAGGAACATGACCGTGGGATGGCAAGGATAGAATTATGCTCGACCTGGTCACCTTTTGTCTCTCAGATTGTCAACGAGTACTCGTTGACAATCTGCGACAATAATAGGGGCGTGTGATTTAGCCGTTAGGCATGTCACGGTATATTGTTGCATTGATTGAAATTGAGTCTTCTGCTCGATGTGCATTCATCAAGTGGTGCGAGAATTATTTTTTTGTGTTCACATATGGTGAATGGCGGTGCAGCGATTAGCGCACTGCACAGTGGTGCAGCGATTAGCGCACTGCACTGTGAGTGCACCTCGTGAGGTGTGGGAAACTAAGCAGGCTTAAACCTGGGCGACCGCGGCCTAGACCGTGAGGTGTTGTATGGGTGGGGCGACGCCGTGGCCGGGAGATGGCAGCGCTGATTGTCACCCTCTTCGTGTGCGAGCGTTTTCTCCGGGTACTTTGGTTTCCTGCCATTGGTGGAACTGGCCAAGCATCCCAATGCAGGCCCCTCATGAGAACGAATCTTGAGACTCGGTAGCCGTATTGACGCTACCCGCTGGATTCCAGCGTGGCCAAACCAGGTGGGTAAGCTAGACTGACCTGTCCAGCACACGATGAAAGTGCCAGGCGTTCCACCTCGGCTGTGCACAGGCTGTACAAATGAGGCTGTGCGGCTGTTGGCATTTTCAAAAATAATTTGGAATGCTGCCATGGCTTAAGGTTAGCACACTAGACTTTCAATCCAGAGGTCGACACTTGAAACAATGGTGCAAGTGTTTTTTAGAATCTCCTCCACCTCTGTCCACCTCGCGGTATAAATGTGTACACCCCAGGTAGTCGGTGGGCACGTCTCGTGTGGGCTACTCCCACCTCGTCAAAGATCTCTAGCCAGCATGAAAGAGGAGGCCAAATACCCTCCACAGGGGCTCTTTGGAGCTCCCCCAAGTGGAGTTCCTTGCGCCAGCAGCCGTGCGATCAAGTGATGGCGACACCTTTACCTGTCATCGTTGTCGTCGTGGCGCTGCAGGTTCCTGGTGGGCGACTCGCTGACGTACGTGGACTTGGCGCTGCTGCACGCCCTGCGTGCCACCGCGGCGCAGTTCCCCGAGGAGTGGGCGGCAGCGGCGGAGGTCACGGCGCTGCTGCGAGCGTTCCAGGAGCGCGTGTCGGCGCGACCTCGCCTCGCCGCCTACTTCCGCTCCGAGCGCTGCAAGCCCTTTGAGGGCAACAGCATGATGTAGGCGGGACGGAGTGTGGCTGGTTGGCACGCGCTCTGGCGCAGTGGCAATTCAGAGGGGGTAAATTTTTTCAGGAAGGCCGTAAATTTCGGTGGTGGCGTATCAATTAAAAAATTTCTGAGAAGGCGATTTATAAATTTGGGAAGAAAAATGTATGGCTTACGCATTTTAAAAATGTTGTACAAAATGCATCTAAAATTAAATGCACGTGAAGAATTGTTCATTGTGTCTTTGCAATTTTCACATTTGTGAATTGTCTTAAAAATGGCCTATTGCATATGTAGTGGTGATACGCGCTGGGATTAGGGATCGTATGCCAGCGCGTAATGATTGGCTGTGTATGTGGTGACGCGCGCTGACGGTGGAGGATCAGGGGTCAGCGCGGGGTCGTGGGTTACGGGGTAATGATTGGCTGTGGGCCGGTGACGCGCTGAGAGGGAGTGACCGGGTGGCAGCGCGGTGTGATTGGTGGAGTAGTGTTAACACGTGCTGGGGAAAACGGATCGTAGAGAGAGTGCGTCGTGATTGGTTCACTAAGGAGCGATGCTCACGTCGACGTCCGCATCAGCTCCGTCTCTCGTGAGCAGGGGCTATAAAAGGGGATGCACACAGGCGTAAGGGCAGTATGTAACCAGCGAAGAATGAAGACGGGGATGAAGACATAGGGCCCTGCGGTACCTAGTCCCGCTGTCCTAACGGGACCGGGACTCTGTGTAACCCAGAGGCGAGTGTAGTGTGTGTAGCCATAGGCATAGAGTCTACACGAGCCGAATGTATTGTGTGTAGCCAGAGGCATAGGGTCTACACGAGTCAAGTGTATTGTGTGTAGCCAGAGGCATAGGGTCTACACGAGTCAAGTGTATTGTGTGTAGCCAGAAGCATAGAGTCTACACTAGTTAAGTGGAGTGTATAGTCCAAAGGATAGAGACCACCCGTTGTATTGTGACACGTCAAGATTTAATAAAAGTGTGTTACCCGTCAAGAAGTTCCTGCCGTGAATTCCAATACTTCACATAACAACGGCCTTCTCAAGACGTATGGAGGGGGCCAAAGGCTTCCCTCCTCTCCCCCGAGTGCACCTCTTGAGAACATCGGTAGGGGCTCGGGCAAGATGTGTAAAAGTGAGCAGCAATATAATGCGGCGAAGCGCAACAAACGTGGGAAGATGTCGTCACTTCCACGTCTCTCCCGCGTGTCCGTGCGATGGCTTGGATAATTAGGAATGTAATTTACAGATAATAGGAAGGTCTGTGGATTGCTTAGTGTGCGTGACTAACAACTTGTTTGTAACATGATGTACAGATCATGACAGAGATGAGTTTCACAAAAACATCAACCGCCGTTCACCACTAAGTGGCGGTGACGTCGCCGCTAGTGGGAAGTCGTGCTTTTATGCCATTCAAGACAGATTATTTGGTCAACAAAAACAACTTTTTTCTGGCCTGGACTTTTGCAGCTGTTTTAGACTAATTTCAGGGTGCTGATTCCAAATCTGATCTCAGATTTGCTCTATCACATCTCATTTTTATGCTATCGGCATACCCCATTTTCTTGAACTCATTGATTTTACCCGAAATTAACTCTGTCACTTATGATTGCAAGTTGTTGCGAGTCAGGGACTGCTTTAGTGTTAAAATATGGTGCTGTATTTTTAGGATAGTGTGTTTATAATATCATTTTATGTAGATATCCACATTTATTTAATGTTTCTTTTGCAGTTTTTATTGAAAATGCAATATTTGATATCTCAAATACCTGATGTGAAAGACAAAAACTGATGCCAGATTTGGAATCAGCACCCCAAAATTACCTTAGAACCGTTGGAATACCTTATGCCAGAAAAAGTGTGTTGACCAGTGAATTATTCTCATCATCGAGCACGATTGCACCCTGGGTATTGCATTGCGAGTTTAACTTCCATGTTGTTCCGCTCGCGATAGGCAGGTGGCAGCAGAGAGCTGTTGTTTGCCTCTGGTCTCAAGTCGCTTGACTTCGTTTGTGCAACAGATGAGCAGTAGATGCTGCCAATTCACGTGCAAAGCCAACTTCAGGTTTCTACAAATAATAAACATAAATAATGATATTTAAATTACTCAGTCGATTTTACAGATAAACCAGTGAGGTATGTGAACACTAAGCTCCCTTGATAGTTTCACAGTGCAAATTGCAACACCTTTTGTAGCGAGATTTCAGAGGCGTTAATATTTAGGGAGAATTCCACCCTCTCCGCAGTCGACATCCCTCCCAGGCACTTAGCTTCTCTTGGCGTTCGAATGAACGTCTCTACTGCTGGATGGCGTGCTGGGGATTTACAACTTGGAAGATGTGAACTCGATAAAGGTCAAGGCGCAGTCCCTGCAATAGCTGGCTCACGCCACTGCTGGTGGAAGGGCCTCCACGGGAGGGAGCTCTGGAGAGCTCCTGTAAAAGGTGCACTGTACTGTATTGGTCTACTCTTCCACGCTGGTAAGACATCTTGGAAGAACGGGAGTGCGCACACTGTACCCCACCCCACGCAATCGTATCTGCCCATCGGTGAGCACATCCCATATATGTCACAAGGAACGAATACCAAAAGACGACCACAAGTTTTAGAACATTGTAGAATGGAACACGAATTGATGGAAATGTGCGAGAGAGTAGACGTGAACCCCAGAGATATTTTGCATTCACTGGCGAGGTGGGGATAATGGTGGTGGTGGTGCGTTGGCTTGCGAGCTTCCTGTCTGTTTTTTATAATTAGCCACCGCGAATGCCTTTCCACCCACACCCTTTCTCAAGAGGCGATTAAATGGCAGTAATCAGGTCGGATAATGATTCTAATGAGCCGTGAGTGGACGGTCTACACTCCATCCCCCTCCATCCCTCCCACCCACCATCCCCCTCCATCCCACTCCATCCTTCCCACCCACCCACCATCCCCCACCATCCCACTCACGCTACCCACGCCACGCTTGCTGTACGACGCCCCTGGGATGTGAAGTCTAGGTTCATGAAATGGACGTTCTGTGCATGCTACATAGAGCACAAACATGCATGTCAGAATCAGAATGTATTTATACTGGAAGAATCAGATGAGCGATTAAGCTCTTTTTTCACATTTCATCCTCATGGCGTTACCCCGGGGTAGCACATAATGCTAAATGACCGAGGCAATTAAATACTTGATTTCTGGGACACTAATTTTGTCCAGGGGTTTACTTCTCTCCGACATCGGTGCCACTCCGCGATGTCAACACGCAGCGAGGACGACGACTGCGCTGAGAGGCGGTGGTGGTGCATCGTGTTCACCACGTGGTGGTGCATCGTGTACACCACGTGGTGGTGGTGCATCGTGTACACCACGTGGTGCATCGTGTACACCACGTGGTGCATCGTGTACACCACGTGGTGCATCGTGTACACCACGTGGTGCATCGTGTACACCACGTGGTGCATCGTGTACACCACGTGGTGCATCGTGAACACCACGTGGTGCATCGTGAACACCACGTGGTGGTGGTGCATCGTGTACACCACGTGGTGGTGGTGGTGGTGGTGCATCGTGTACACCACGTGGTGGTGGTGGTGCAGCATCGTGGTGCACAGCTCGTCCACACGAGTCGACTGCCGCGTCGCCCACCATCAACAGGCTCGACGTGACTGCGTCACGGACATGGTGCGAGAGCCGGGCCATCAGCTTCATCTGTCCACACGTCAGCAACACGGATACAACTGATTCGAAGCTTCCGTGACTGCAGGAATTACTATGTGGTTCTTTCGGTAAAGTCACGTAGAAAAAAAATGTAATAATAATAGAATACGACGTTTCGATTGCAACACAAGCTACCATCATCAGGTACAAATGAATGAGAAAACAAACATAGTAAACTTAGAAGTATAATGCAATGCAACACAGAGTCACTTGCTCATGAATATTAACGAGGAGGCTGTTCGATGTGGAGTGACGTCACGAGCGTTAAGGACATTCCTGGGTGGTTCTAGTGGGTGGTATTGCCAGCCAAGGGACCGAGCGCGTGTTCCCGTTGATGAGGAATGGGAACGCGAGCGTGGCGTGATTTGTAATAACGTCTGAAATGTGCTGACAAAGTGTTGCGGTGTTTTTGCATAAAACAGCAATTTTCTTGACATATCTTGGCATGTCTAGATTACCATGAAATTAGAAACTCGTCACAACCGTATGGCGTGATGACCACGTGACGACGATATTACATAATGCATGTTTACATTCATCTTGCTGTGCACAGTATGTGTGCACACGTGCAATCAAGAGCCATCATCATCACCCGCGACTGGATGCGAACCGCACCCCATCTCCGTCTCACTGCGGACTTCGTGCATCGACTACCATCACCACTCCATGTCAATGGCAGACAATCTGTCAGACATGAGCCCTCATTGCGCTGCCATTCCGTCACCAGCCTCGTCCATCGACGATCAGCCCTCCCCGCCAGCCCGCCAGCTGTCTCGCCAGCGAGCAAACTTTACTAGCAGATACCATTGCCTCTTGGTTTGTGTCCGTTCTCAAATTCATGCTTTTTCTCAACGTAAATTCTCAACACGTATCTCTCTCCACGTTGCTCTGTGTTTTTTCAGTATTTGTTCATCGTGCTGTCTGCGTTCACGTGTTTGATCCACGCCATAGCGGGTGGCCAGGTTAAAGTACGGTCAAACATATTCTCTGGGTCTTTTGGTAAAGTAACGTAGATATGTTCAAAGAAAATAACAAAACACGACCAAACAACCACCATGGCCGATGGCAGCGTGGGGAGACTGTCAAGCAGCAGGGGATTGACACAATCCGTGTCGGCGTCTGGGCAGGATCGCCCGCGATGCGGTCAATCTGGTCTCACGAGGAGACCTCGCGAGTTGAGCACGACGGAGTCTGCGTGGTGCGTGGACATCTGTGAAGAAGAGCTTCGGAGCTCCTCTGACTCTTCCAGCACAATTCACGCGTCTGATGGGTGATCGTGTCCCCCAATGCGCACGCACCAGCGTGGCGGTGGCCGTCCTTCGTCCAATCGCCCTGACGAGCCGCACGGCATAGGGACGGCCTCATCCAGCAGTGGACTAAACAAAGGGGCTGTCCACGTCTACTACACTACTACGTTGACACAGTTGTGTAAGGGGGCTGCTGTCTGGTCACATGATGCGTCTGCCGTCCACTGGAGAACAAACAAAATCAGAAGTGGCACAGATAGCAGTAGCAGCGGTTACCAGG